AGACCGCTCGGCAGCGCCGTCGAGGAAGTCGTTGGTGCCGGGTGGCAGCGGGGCGCGGGCAGCGGCGCAGCCCAGTGCCAACAGCCCCAACGCCAGCAGGGCCCGGCCGCCGCCACCGGGCATCGCCTCTGGAAGACAAGAGTAGAGAGCGGGGTCAGACCCCACCGCGGAGCCACCGCCGGGAGCGGGTGCCTGGCGGGACCCGCCGCCATTTCCTGTGCCCCCTGCCGCGCCGCGGGCGCCTCAGGGGGACCTGGCGCCGCCGCCATTTCCTGCGCCCCTAGGCGCGCTGTAGCGCAGCACCACGGCCACCTCTGAACTGCCCCCGACTCCTCAAGGGCCTTGCAGCCTTTTCTCCCTCTTTTTATTGTTTTCTCTCTTATTGAGGAACACCAGACAAGCCTGCAGATTTATAGCTGAGGTTATGCAATGTTATGTAACCGTAACATGCTGCGTAGTTTTGCCTGTGGCAGCGGCCCCTCTCCTTCACATAACTGAGGCACTGGAGCTCTGCGCTGAGGGGCTGTCTCGCGCATGCTGAGCCGTAATAAAAGCCTCTGAGCTACTGAGTAGGGGCTTCCTATTGATTTTGGACAGTGCTGGTCTGAGGCCTTCAAGGCTTGGCTCGCCTTGGGCTTTTATCTTTCTGGCAGCAGGTTAAAATAACGCAAACAGAAGTTCAGTATCTGCTGGATCAGCCAGCTGGCCCCAGTCCAGCCCTCACTGTCTCCTTTGCTGCCCTGCTCGGGTTTCATATATAACCATTTGCAGTAAGAGCTGGCCATGGCTTGTCTTTGCCTCCTTCCCTCACTTCTGCTCCTTGCAAAGCATTCAAGGGAAGGGGAATCTCCAAAGTGGAGCAAGTCATGGAAGACGAGTCTAAGTAAAAAAAAATTCAAAAATAGAAAATCCCACAATGGATTCTTGACTCAAGTATGAAATAAATGCTAACTCTGTCAGCCTAGACTTCTCCTTTGCCTTCGAAATCTCAGCACCAGGTTGGGAGCCATCAGACCAGGCCCACCCCCTTCGTGTCCATCATACAGCTTGGCACCAATACCCCTCCTTTTTGGGGCGCTCAGACACTGGCAGATGTTGGACAGATCCTGCTCTCAGTCAGACTTTTAAGTAATATCTTTAAACACAGACTTAATGCTTGAAGAAATGGGAGAAGATATATTCCTGGGACAGAGCATGGCTTGATGCATGGAAGGGTTTGGTTCAGCTCTGGACTTCCATGTTGGGCAATTTTAAGCACTTCAGATTTGATTCCTGCCTCCACTATCCCACAATTTCCATCTCTGTAAAACCTGAATATAATCAAATTAATCTCTTTTATAAAAGATTTCAGAGATTAGATGATGTGCCTTATGCAGCAGCAAGACATTAACAGTGAGGTCAAAATTAGCCATACAAGCATGCCAACATTGGATCAGTAACTTCCTGAGATTAGGTCACCAAATACTAAGGACTTATTTCAGAAATCTTACAGAAAATAGTCTCAGAAACCAATCTCAGAAGGTACAGTTATCAAATCTAAAAGAAAAAGCCCTTTACCCATGGGTCAGAATCAGCCTTGCTGTGACAAATACCAACACCACACCAACAGTACCACCGGTTACATCAAGATTAGTATTGGTCTCTACAGATTTGTGGCATGCTGACTTCTCCATAAATTCAACTGAAAATACATTAAAAACAGCATGCAATATTGCATCTACTGCATACTGAAATATTGGGAGGCAGTCTCAGCCTTCTGTCATCAGCGTGCGTGCTCCTGCGATAGCGCCTTTGAAGTGACTGCTGCTCTGGTGCCACACGGAGACACTTTGGATACGGAAACAACTGCTTCCATCTGGAGCGCAGGCAGTAAAACCAGGCAGGATTCTTTTTTTAAGTTCAAAGTATGTCTGAACTCACTCACTCCAATTAAACTCATTCCCAGGGGCATGATCCAAAACCTTATTCAAAAAACTTAATAAAGGGGCTCAAAGCTCCCCAGAAAGCTTCCCCTCCCCTTGCCATGAGTGGGCTTGGGACCAGGCGCTACACCCTGAAGACTGCGGCTTCGCTAAAGCCGGTTCAGGGGTTTCTGCGGTTGCATCTTTCTGAATCCAGGCAGAACCACCAGTCACTGCTGCACTTTGCTGCCCCACAGCACCAGAAGCAGTGTGCTGCAACAGGCAAGAAGCAAGCTGAAGTTTCAGGAGTTATATGCTTCTCAGTGATTATAACCTCGATGAATCATGTTCAAAATATCGCTGTACCTGCTGTTCTCCACATGCACATTCTCACAGGACACACACACACACAATTGGAAAAACATAATCTCCTTCAATACCAGCAGGTTAAGTGAATCTGTTCACTTTCATATCCTTTTTAAAAGCTGCAGCTGACCAGCTGCTGGATGTTGTCTGACAGCTTTAAAAAAAAATTAAAGTGCTGAAAAACTCACCTTTGCTGACAGAGATTAGATGACTGGAGAAGAACATTTCTCTTGCCCCCACAGGCTCCCTCAGCTCATGCCATGTCCGTTACATGCGCTGAGCTCAGACTGAGACTCCTCTTTCCAAGCCAGATCCTTTCCAGATGTGAGCGGCAGAATTAGAGAGAGTAACAGGCAACCCTCTACCAACGAGAGTTTCCTGCACTTTCCAGTGAAATTGGAGAGGAATTTTCCAAAGTTACCATATGGGAAAATGTGAGCAGGAAAGAGGAAACAGCTATAGTCTGAATATAAAGACTCGGGCAAAAAACAATCTCCCATTGCTTTTTGTCAACACGCTTTGTGAGATCCACGAGAGATGCCAGAAGAAAGCATGCTGCAGATGACCGGAGAGAAGCAGAGGCTGTGCGCGCATTGCAGGAGAGCCGAGCTGCACTAGCGCTTACTGGAGCTTTAACTTTTGCTGCCTTCTCGACAAAGTCTGAATTCCATGCGAGAATGTCCCCCCTTCCCCATGGGCCTGGTTCAAATTAGCAAGGAACAGATAGATCAGCAATTTTTCCTGCATCTCCCTCCCCTTTAACTCTCCCCTTGGTTTTCGATCCATCAGCTGTTCTTAAGAGTTCAGGGTTAGGCTGAGAAACAACAAGCATCTTAGAGGCAAAGTCTTCAAATTTGACATAATACCCCATCTAAAGACTCTCTTTTACATCCTCTAAGCTCTGTATCACAGCACTAAACACATGCAGAGTCCTGGTTATGTTAAGACCAGAAATCCTGCATTTCCTATTTCTGTCTATATTAAAAAAACAAAAAAGAGAGAGAGAGAGAGAGGAATTTGCTGTTCATAGCAGAGTATGCTCTAAGTGCAGCAATATTTCATGAAAGCAGCACATTCTTTTTGCCGCTGACAGCAGCATTATTTTTTAAACATAAAGCCACCTATTTTGCGAGTGCCCTGCAATGTGCCATACAATACCTCCACCAACTGTGCAGAGGATCTGTCCTCAGCAAGAACTCGCTGTATTCCAAAAAAGAGACACTGGCTCTTTCCTCCCAACTCCAGCTGAACTAAAGTCTAAAGCAATTAAGTTGTTTCCTCCCTCTCTTCTCCTATCAACTGGAACAGATCCCCCCCCTGTGCCACGTGTAACTTTCAGAAGTCAGCGTGGGAAGTGTTTTAGTTTTCACTAAAACAAAAACAAAACAAAACCGGCTGCCTATTTGTTAGATGATTCAGAGATGCAGGATGTATTCTGCACTCCCCATCCTCCACACCTGCCTGTTACCCTTTCTCTAACATCCTGAGGCAATATAGTAAAAGCAATGTTTTCAAGGGAATACAGTTTTCAAGGAAAAAGCAAAGTCTGCGCTGGGGAAGCACACATCTCACCCCAGGCTGCAGGCAGAGGAAAGAAAGAGAAGGGAGATTGCCCAGCTATTGATGCCAGAAGAGCCCAAGAGTGAGAGCGCAGAATTCACCCTTCTTCAAAAGAATGTGTTTATTTGCATTTTGTCACTGTAGTACTTAAACAATCATATACCATCTAGAGGTGGTAAAGGACTTCACCAGGAGAGGGGCATCGTGCCTATTTTAGTGACAGGGAAACAGAGGCAAAGAGAAGTGTCATTGCCAACCCAAGATTATGCATCAGTGCAGAGCCAGGGTCAGAAATCAGATAACCCAGGGGTGAAAGCAACACTTAAATCCTTACACCATGCTACAAATCACTTATTTTTCCTGTTTGTTTCTAAAGTATCATTTCTTCTACTTACCTCTTATATGAGAATATTCCAAACTTACCATCTCTTACCTCCAGGCCAGTCCTACATTCCTAACACTAGAACTCACATAACCTCTCAGGAAAACCTCCCAGGAAAACCCATCTTAAACATATTCTGACACACCACAACGGCCTAAGGCAAGGACTAAGCTTATGGATTTGGGGAATCACTATTTTGGGTGGGTGTTTTTGAGAAAAGCATTTCCATCCAAACACACATAACCTACAGTCTGTTGCCGACAACATTTCCAGTTACAATCTTTGCAACCCAGCATGTTCCATGCTGCGGAGGTGAGAGAGGGAGCTCAGGTACAAATTAAGTATTTTCAGGTTCAAAAACAGATGCTGAAAATGCAGCTTAAGATTCTTATACAATTACTTCTTCAGATTGCCCAGATGGTGCAGAAGCAGGTCCCTGGGCAAACCATTGCCAGGGTGCCACAGTAACAAGCAGCAGCCACCACCAATCCTGTGGCACAGCACCCTGGGGTGCTCCTGCCAAGGCCCTGCCTGCTGCACGGGCACCAGCAGAAAAGTCTCAGTGGTGGCCAGGGACACTTTGCTAACTTGAGCTTCCTTTTTCAAAGCCCTTCTCCCAGACCTCAGCACAAGGACACGTCCAGGTCCAAGCTGTACCATACAGTATATGTACTTATTTGCACAGGCTTGTAACTGAGCAAGCCAAAGTTACACCAAGGATGCACCTACCTCCTGGTGCCCCTGTGGCCGTGGAGGATCAGGACAGCACAAAGGTGGTACAAATCCACAAGAACCTGCTCAGCTCTCACTCACAACCATTGTCACTGCCCTAAAGAGATTACAGGCTAAATTTAGATGCAATACACTAAGCTTAGGTAACGCGTGGCCCTGCAAGCAACAATGGGGCAGAGGACAAAGGTATAAGCAGCCTTTTGAAGCCTGATCGTATTTGGGGAGTTATTCGGAGAGCATGGTGATTATGTGTCAGCTCACTCAGCATCAACGTGGAAAGAGTGAGGCAAGAAGGATTCATGAGATTTAAATTTATTTAAATTGCATTTTAAAATGTAGTTTTTTTTAACCCTCTTATTTATCCGATTTAATTAAGACTCTACAAAAACACTTGCATTTCTGAAGGGTCTATGGCTATATGCTGATACTGTGCCTTTATTTGAGAGGAGAAAAAAAACATTAAAATTATCATAAGCAACTTGCCATCATTCGCTTTAAAAAAATCAAAAAAAAATAAAAAAAGAGAATAATCAAAACAGAAAGAGTAAAGAGCTTTTTGTCTCCAAGGCACGAAGGGAAGCACTTTTCAAATCTTAAGTATGCACAACAGAGTCTGGCCATGAGCCTACTGGCATGTGTGTGCTGATCCAAATGAACCTTAAGATGTCTGTTCTCTCAGAAGACATGTATTGTTTAAAAAAAAAAAAAAAATCCATGGCTGCTTTTAATCTATTTAAAATATGGAATACAAACACAGCATACTGCCTTCTTGCTTTATCATCCACTACACATGCCTTTTTAGCCTGCTGTAGCTTTATGAGGCTATTTCTCTTCCTATATAACAGTAAATAACATTTCCTGGAGAAACCACTCAGGGCCATATAAAGCCATCTGCTTTCAAGTTAGCAAAGAATTTTTCTTAAAGATATGCACAAAACAGCTTGCACTGTCACTCCAAGAAATTACGCTTCTGTTTATTCAAGCAATAAAGGAACTGGTTCCAAATAGAGGGCTTTTTTTTCCACCCCAACATTTGTCCTCCACATGTGGTTTTCTTCCACAAGTGTTGATTTTTTGTAGTTAAGAGACTTTTTCCTGCCTTTTAACCACCAGGCTAATTGTATTCTTTTTCTCCTCTGCTTAATGAGAGCTGACATTCAGCTCAGCACTCTGAAAACAGGACACAACACAGTTCCTGTTCCAGGGAGATAGCAGTTGAACCAACCTCATACAAATTGAGCATATGGAAAACAGACATTCAGATCCAACCTTGTGATTTATACAAATTTTATTTTTTTAACTGTAGCAGAGAAGACACAGGATCAAGCCCCTTTGCACCATACTCCTGCAACCTGAAATGACCTTTATATCTCCCAAAAGGGCAGCTGCTTAATGCTGCCGCAGACGATGCTGACTTGCTCACAACATCCTCATTCAAACAAATTAGTCCCTCTCTGCTACTTAACCACAGAGCACCCACATTACCTCTTTGGAGGAGGACTTGCTTGCACAAGCAAGGCAATACAGTCACATGCCAAACTCTGTTCTCCTTCTACCACTAGCACAATTACGACCACCTGCACGAGAGGCACCCTGTGTCATGCGCTCTCACAGAGCTGCTCCAGAGGAAAGGGAAGCCCCCTCCAAAGACAGATACTTGCGGGAACATTTTTGCTCCTTACACTGCCTTATCTGCCCACAGATATACCCTCATTCATCCACAAGGAGCTCTCTTGTGAATATCCCAAATTCGGACTTTCAGAACAAATACATTTTGTTATCTTGAAGAGCTTAGGAATTGGGATTTCTCAAAACAGCATGGTTTTCTTAAGGAAAGGACCCATTTCTGGCCATTTCTTCTGTTCCAGATGAGACAAATTAATCATCTGAAAAAATAACAGTCACTTCTGAAAATGTATACAGTATAAAGTATATGGTATGTATATGGTGTAAGGCTTATGTACTCAATTTCTCATTTCTGACTTAAACAAAGGATCAGGACAAATACAAAACTCAGATGTTTAAAAATAAAAACTGTGCTCCAAAACTAAGGCATTTATCGCTATTCCTGCAAGCCAGATCTGCTGAGCTGGGTATTGCTCTGCTCACTGGCCCAGACTCAGATTCATCTCTTCCATCCTCTTACAAGAGTAAAATATACTCCTTTACTATGAAAATTCTTATCTAAAAGACTTGATAAAGATATAATTTTATCTGCCAACTTGACAGCATCTCTTTAGTTGACAAATAATTAACACATTAATCACAGCTGAAAAAATATTAATGGCTTTCTTCAAAAGGCAGCAAAGAGTTCATCAGGTCCTTATTTGTGCACAAACACAGACCCCCAAGCTTTAGCTTCTGAAGCTGAGAACTCCTCTTGCGCAAACTGCTCATGTTCTGCTTCCCCTCACACTCCATATTCCTGACACCCTCCCTTGACCTGGCCTTAGCTCTTACCTTATTCTAAAGGGAACTGGACCACCAGAAACTCATACCTCTTTTTCCTTTAAGATTAAGTTTCTGTCTATACAGCCCCATAAACTGGCTCCCCACAGCATCAGGAGATTGATGACTTTGATCAGCTTAAACAGATGGAAGATTTGCTGTGGATCATAAATAACAGACAATATTAACAATACAAAAGGTAACTTAGAACAACCTGTAAAATAGTACTTATCTATGCTACTCATTTGAATATTCTGCTCGGTGAAGTAATTTCTTAATTATTTGCAAAAGACTTTTTTTTTTTTTTAAATTAAACAGTGACCAAGGATCTATGAACTCTGTGTTCAAAATTCTTGGAACAGGTAGGTCATTATCTTGCATTACAAAAACATACCCAATACCTCTGGCATTACCACAGATTTCAAAGGACAGAGAACTTGCTGATTAAAGGGTATATATATGCAATGCCTAGTCCTGTACGCAGGAGCAAATGATTTTAAGTACCTAATTACTACTGCAGTTCTGTAATTCACTTTTCTTTAACTTACCAACAAAATGTCTCGAATTTAAGAAAAGTAGATATATTAGCGAATGTTATTTTCTGATGAGTTACTTCTATTTAAGAGGTATGTGAGAGCCCTTAGTGATAACAGATATAAAATAATCACCTCAATTCATGAATATGAAACCCATATTTACAAATCCGAGGAAAAGAGACACACAGAAGAACAAGAAAAGTATATTTAATTATCTATTAAACATCCAATTGGAATATATTTTCCCAAAGCAGAAGTTAAAGTTTTTACATTTCTGATAGGAATTTCATTATGATAAACTCCAGAACCTCTTAGGAGAAAACAGGCAAGTGTTGGTTAGTCTCCCCTTCCTGCTCTCCTGGAGAACCTCATGTTTCTTCAAGGTAAAGTATTATTAAATCCTGTATATCTCAAAGCAGTGTTCTAGTTCCTACTTAACTTCTGCATGCTTTATTATTATTTTTTTTAATTCCAAAGTGGTAATAAGAAAAGTATTTTATAGCAAATTCCATAAATCCCATTTAAAAATGTTGTTAGTGATCCCACATATAAGGCCATTTTAATTTAAGCAGCAGTAAATTTGTTAGAATGAATGTCTAAAGCCATGACCTGCTATTACACATTCTTTTAAAAAAATGCAATCATTTAATTCTTATGTCAAACTATTTATAACCTTCCCCATTATCTTGCCAATTAAACTGAAAAACAGTAAGCAGCCTCAATTATCTTTTGTAAGTTTTATAAAAATCATACTGGTTAAAACAGAAATTTTGTTTACATACTACCCACCATAATCACTTGTAAGAGTTAATGTCTCAAGCTTAGCCTAAAAGTCTGCCATAAGTTGATGGAATTTCGTAAGAGTACTAAGGTCTCTTAACCACAGGATTTAAATGAGACAGGTCCAATTAAGTCCAACCTGTGTCAAATTATTGCAAACAACTAGCTTCATTCTATTTTTTTTTGTCAAAAATAGGAAGAATTGACTGTCTAGTCTAATGATCTCAGAGTTTAGCTTTGCCTGGCTGAAGTTGTAGATTCTGAAGCTTCATTGCCATGCCCATGTTCCCAGAAACCTTCAATTTGCCTTGGAAGAAAGCCTAAAAAGAAAAAGGATCATGTGAAATGCAATACAACACATTTCCCAAGATGCACACCCCTCCCAAAACTCATGATTGGAAGAGAACCAAAATATTTTATTTTACCATGCTATTTTCAACTCTGAATATTTTAAGACAGGTAGATATTCTAATTTTATTACACTACATCACTTCCACAAAACTTACAGGCATACTGAGGCAAAAAAACTTGGAAGAAGGGGAAAAAAAATCCAAAACTCTTCCACATGCTAACAGACACACAGGTCCCTACTTGCTCTCTAATTAAATTCTAATAGTTCCAAAGAAAAACCCTTGCATGAATCAACAAATGTATTTTCTGACACTGAATGCAGAACAGTAACTTCAGAAAGCTGCACATTTACACTTGGTGTACTTGTGATAGCTGAACGAAAATACCTTTGCTATCACTTTTCTTGCCTCACCGCAATGATACATTTATACGTAAAGCAGGGTAGAACACTGTCTTGGTGATGACAGTCCATAAAACAAATGTTCACTACTTCAGTCAACAACTTTAAAGCAGTAGAGAATTAGGGGAGATAAAAGATGCTAAAATTGATTTCTAAAACTTCTTGCTCTCCTCCTTGACCCATAACTTCTAAGAAACTCCTATTATTGTTTAATCTTTGAAATACTTACTGTCTGAGGATTCATTTTGCCAGTCATCAGAGCTAATAAATCAGCATCGGCCATTGTAATTGTACAATCAGCCTTCTTATCTGTAAGAGAGTTGACCATAAAGATTCAAACAGTAATAACAGCTGCAAATCCCTAAAGAATCTCCTGATACTAAAGATTATTGCCATGGTATTTAAATAAGGCTATAAATAGGGCCCATTATGAAGTACTAATAAAAGATTCTCTAATAACAGTGTGATCTGTGCCAGCCTGTAGCACAGACCAGGCCAACACTGAAGACAGACCTTTCCGAAAGGTGCTAAGGAAAATCATAAGCTTAAAAAACTCCTTATAAATAGAGTGCTAACTGCAAACGTTCACAACTATCTTAACCTTTGTTAAGCTTAAATTTTCTAGTATTAAGTCCAGATAAATGTGTTCTCTCTTATGACACTTCCTGATGTTATGTTTATCACTGAAATTTCAGGCATTTCCTGTCCTTTATTTCTACAGGAAAAAAAAAAAAAAGAAAAAAAAAAGTGTGACCTGAAAGTTCTCATCATATTAATCCAATTTTTTGGGGGGATCTCCTTTACCAGAAATGAGCTGAAGAGGTATTTTAGTAAGTTCTCATATTTACACACACACAGACACATTAAAGGCTAAAAATTGCACACACCTTCTCCCACACTCATCTTATTAATAACTTAAATCTGTGATAAAAGGTTGCCCACACAACAAAACATTGCATTTTTCTTTCTATAATACTTCAGATCAGTGAATTCCAAATCAAATCCCCTATAGTGTTTTCAGTTGACAACTTTATGATACATAATGAGAACTTGAGGCAAGAGCTGTCATTGGCTTTTTATTTATGCTAATGGAATGCATTACTTCAGACACTGGACAGGATACACCTTCATGATAGGGGTTCAAATACTTCACTTCTAAAATTCTGAGAAGGGTTCCCTACCACTACCCTGCCTTTTAAAAAAACAAACAAACAAACAAAGGAAGGGTTCCCTACCACTAGCCTGCCTTTTAAAAAAACAAACAAACTTAACCTCCATGTGAGCTAGTACAAATTAGTCAGTCTCACTGCATAACTAACTGCAAAGGAGAAGTAACTGGTTAGATGCACCAGCTCCCAGGGTCTTCAAAAAACAGCCAAAGGAAGAACTACAAATCACTGTCATCACTTCTTTTGTTCCTGGTTCCTGCAGGAATCATGGGACACTATTAGGCAAAATCTGACCACAGCTTCTAAAAAAATATGCAAATATCTAGACAGACTTCAGAGTAAAAAATAATATGTTTAAATCTTTACTCTAAACCTCATGAACTGTCAGCAATAAGAAAGGCTTAAAACAAGGTAGTTCTACCCCTTTTTTACTCAATATCACCATAGTTTGAACAGAATATGTATAAAGAGTCTTTTCATTCACTTTACGTGTTTCTTGCAATGACATAATAAAATAGCACTGACCTGAATTAACATCCACAGACCCTCTTCCATTTTTCACATCTACTATCCATGTTGCTTCTTTTCCACCAGGACCATCTTTTATTTTGAAGGCAAAAACACCTCCTATTTTCTTTACAAATTGCTCTCCTTCCTGTAATGACCAAGCAATATGAAAACTATTCATCTCTTTCAAAATATTTTAAGATAGCTTGAATTAAAACAGAAGGCATATTAAAGAGAGATATCTATTTCCCTGTAGTAAGCTTCATTTAAATAATCCCCCCAAAATCTACTGCTATGTCTCTACTAAACCTATCAAGTAAGAGAATTACATCTGGCTCAACAGTCTTACTGCAAGTCTGACAAAATGTACATTTCCATTTTTCATAGTGACAAAGCAAGCAGCAACACAAAGTAGAAACTCCTGGTGTTAACTAAGAAGCCACAAAATACACAGCATAAAATTCGTGACACAGTGAAACTGAAAGCTGCAAAGTTTGTCTAAATGAACAGTACTGACAAAGGGATTGATGATACAATATTCCCATCAGGTTTGGCATATATTCTGGCATAAATTAAAATCCCCCGTTATAGATAAAGCAAGTAGTCAAATACCTCTTGGAGCTTCTTTTCAATCTCCTTGAAGACCAGATGTGACTTGAATCCATCAACAGCTGCACTGAGAGGCACAGCCACAACACGGGAGTCACTGGAATGAAAATGCCTTTATTTTATTTTAATCATATTTCCAACATCTTCAGATGATCTTGAATAGGCTGAATCTCAACGAGAAGGGCCCAACTCAAACACTTTAACAGCACTTCAAGTATCTAGACGTTTTTGTATATGTGGACAGGAAAAATTTTAAGTGAGGGTAAACCATTAATCTTAGTGCCAGAAGTTTAGTTCTCCTATTTCCAGGAATTGTCCTAATTTCCACCATCCTGCTTAACAACTTCAAAATAACTGCTAGCCTCTACAGTACGGGAAAGTTCATTCTGCCTGTCCAGGAACTATCTAGAAACTCTCAAACTAGAAGACTTCCTTTTTTTTCTAAAGAGAGTAGCAATATTTTTAGATAAACTTTAAAGTCTCATATGAAGTGCAAACTGATATTTGAATCTATGTGCTAGTTGATTAAAACATTTTAAATTTATTTTATTTTGCTGAGTGTATTTTCATGACAAAGTGGCTTCATTGAAAGTGAATTATTTTGTTTTTTTCATATATGAAAAGAGCTTCAACCTTACAGAGAATCTTAAGTTACTTTCCACTTTCCTACTGAGAGCTCTCCTTTGGTCCAGTTGTGTCTGAGAGTTTTTGTCACCTTGCATTTTCCTCCTTTTTCTTGTGTGTCTCAACAATTTGTCATCAAACCTACCGCTAAGTTTTCCTGCGCCAGCTCTTACAAGACATCAGCCATTCACAGCAGGGCAGTGTTGCTCCCCTTTTCCCTACCAATTCACACGGGGCTGCCAACAGTCACAAGAGAAATGGGACACGATCCCAGACTTTCCGGAGAAATACTCCGCCCTGCGCGGCCTCACAAGCAGCCAGAAGGAAGGGAGCACAGAGTTGTCAAAAGGAGAGGCTGCAGGAAAGACTGGTTTATAATCAGTACCATCTCTGGGCAGCACTGTTCAAAAGTGCCGTTGGGTGCAACGCTGCTGAAGTGACAGGATCACTTCAGAACTGTTACCAGAACTGCTTGGTGTCCTGCTAGCAGCAAAGCACCCCTGCAGATTTTTGCTGGGGTAGAAAGAGTAGACACTGTGTCATAAGAAAATGATGTACCAGCTTTGCTAGGAAACAAGGTTGTACTGACAAGATGTAAATGCATAAGCTGTCAACAAAAAGCACAGCTGTTGTTAAAAACAATACCAAATCAATCAAGTTCTGTAGCCATTTACCTCGATCTACATTTATGGCAACCGTAATTGCCATAAATTGCTTATTACTGAAGCTATTGGTTACATGCTATATCTGAACCTCCAGTGATACAGTGTGAACCTAAATAAAAAAAAAATCTTACGAAACATTTTCATAAATGTGAAATGCCACCACCTTTCGCCCAGTTACACAACATGCAAATCATTCTATTGCATCAGCTGGGTCTTGAACTGATTAGCCAAATTGTTTCATTCCAAAGCCTGATATACATTAGCACAGTTCCTCTTGGCAGGTATCTCCTACGCACAAAGCCTTTTGAGAGAATTTTTTTAAGCCTCTTGTATTACAAAAAAGGTTCCTCAAAGATTTCTATGCTTTGAGATGCACCTGAGAGGTGCATGTAAAGGAATGGAATAAAATATTATGTTTATTCATTGCCGAGTTTTGGATGCATATTAAGAAAATTCAGGAGAAAAGGGGATTTTCCTCTGTCACACATATCCTACCATATCGCTGAACCTGCGTTCAGATTGAGGCAGGCTATAGAATGTATAATCCAATCCCTTCTGACACTCTACTATAAAAAGTTATTGTGCAGCCCCTCTAAGTTAAACTGCTGCTCTCATTACCTCTTTCCCAGACCCTTCCCAGCAACTGAATGAATTTAGCCAAAATGTACCTTAGTAATACGAGTTAGAAAGGACTATTTATTCCTGGAAGTTTACCACATGATAATTTTACTATCAACATGTTTTAAAGGAAATAAAAACAAACAACACAAGGAGGAACTCAATCTTTGTAAACAGGGTTGAAAGTAGAAACAAAGGAGAGGATATACTACCCAAGTATCTCCTGAAACTGAGTACTGGTGTATTTAAAAGATTCATTGTTTCCTTTCAGTTCCTGTGCATCCTAGCATAGAATTAGAGCAGACTACCTAATGACTTTGCAGGAGTGTTTTCCTGTATCATTCTGAAGCGCACTACAACTGCAAAGGCAAATTCTCTC